ATCTCTGTAGATGTTCATTGAAATGAAAAATAAACTAAATTTAAAAAAAAAAAAGAATGGCATGGCGCCTCTTCCCTCAGATGTGGATCTCTGGAGGTGGACTGTGTCTCCCTCTGTCCAGCCCAGGCCTGGCCTCTCCTCCTCACAGGGTCCCTTTGGTCACTGATACTCTCCCTCACCCTCACAGCATGAAGGTGGACTGCACCTTCCCTCTCAGAGAGCAGACCCTCCTTCCCCACATCAGGTACACCAAGGCAGGGGGTCTCTTCTCTCTCTAGTGGCCATCTGTCCCCTCCCATGGACTCCAGACCCTACGGCCCAGCCCCGCCCCCCACTGTCCTCTCACCTTCGGCCCGCAGCTGCCCAGAGGTGCTGACCGAGCCCAGGGGGTTCCTGGCTGCACAAACATAGGTGTTCCCATCCCCTGCTGCCACGTCTTGTACTGGTACTCGCAGGGCATTGCGGGCCACCTGGACAGATCCTGTCCCTGATGCAGAGCCATGGGCTCCCTGGCTGGTAGCAATCACGTGGTCACCGTGCGACAGGGCCAGCTCGGCAGGCGGCTCGCTGTCCACAGTGCATTGCACCAGGGTCGAAGGGCTGGTCCGAGAGTCCCGGGTAAAAGACAAGATGGCATTGCGGGGGGCATCTGGAGAGAATGGGTCATGGTTGGGATCTTCCTGGTACCCCTCGATTACACAGCGGAGCCCTGCCACAGCTCATATGCCTGAAGCCACTGGACCAGCGGTCACCCCCAAATGTGGTGCCTTCTCAGGCCTGCTGTGAACAGGTTCCTCCAAACAGAAGCCACCTGCTCCATCCCACCAAAGGCCCTGGGGATCCCTCATCTATGTCGTTTCCCCGGGTGATCACTCTGGAGCCTACTGCAGACTTGCGCCCCCCACCAGGACCTAGAGGCATCATCCACCTGCCCTGAACACCCCACCCACATGCCCTCCTCACAGAGGACTCGCAGAGCAGTGGGCCGGGAACTGCGTGTGCCCTGGACATCCTGGGCCTGGCAGGAGTAGGAGCCCGCATGGGCCCGAGTAGCCACCGGGAACGCCAGGGAAGTGGCTGGTCCCTCCTGCAGCCAGCGTCCATTGTGGAACCAGACATAGAGGGTTGGTGGGCGAGCAGCGGGATCATCACAGGTCACTGTCACGGAGGTGCCCTCAGGTACAGAGGCCGTTGGAGCCAGGGTCACCCGCACCCCTGTTTCCAAGGAGACCAGGGGTCAGCTGGCCCAGCCACAGCCGGTCCCCACCCAGGGTCTTGGCCTGACCTGGCTCACCCTCCAACCGCAGCTCCAGGGAGGTGTTTGCCTGGCCCAGAGGGCTGCGGGCAGAACAGCTGTAGAGACCCTCATCACTGGGCCGAGGGTCTAGCAGCTCCAGGCGCAGGGTGTTGGGGGTGGAGGCTGTGGTCGAAGAGGCCAGGATACGACCGGCATGGCTGAGGGCCAGCTGGGCAGGCGGCTGACTGTCCACCGTGCACAGGAGCAGGGCCAGCTGCCCTCTGTGGCTCTCCAGGAGGTAGGTGAGGCGCAGTCCACGGGGTGCATCTGGAAGGACACAAAATGTGCAAAGGAAGAGTGAAGGGGCCAGCTTGCAAGAGATGGCCAAGCCCAGGAGGACACCACTGCCCACCACAAGGCCCCTCAGCCCCAGAAAGTATCTCTCCTCATTGCCCCCCACTCCCAGCTAGACAGGGCACTGAGTGCCCAGGCTGGACACAGTGGACCTGTCCACATCCTCTTCCTGTGGGCTGCTGAGGACAGTCCAGGGAGATGTCATCCCCTCTCCCAACCCCACCCTGCAGGCGACAGACTCACAGAGAACGTCCAAGGAGATGGGCCGGGAGAGGCGGAGTGCCTGGCCAGGGGTCTCCACGCCACAGCGGTAGGAGGCAGCATCTGTGACCGTGACATTGGGCAGGAGGATGGAACGGGCACCAGGGCGCTGCTGCCCATTCTGGTACCAGGTGTAGGTGAGCTGGGTCAGGTGTGTCCATACCAGGCAGGTGAGGTTCACAGGCTGCCCCTCGTGCACCGTGGCCTCAGGCCACACCTGCACACTCACAGCTGGAGGGGGCAAGAGAGTGGGCACACCAGTTAGATGTGTAGGGCGGCCACTTGGCAGCCTGAATGACAGCAGACCCTGCTGCAGAAGAAGACTCTTGTCCTTGGCTTCTGTGACCCTCAGGGGGAACACCCCGGTCCCTGGGATCTGTGTTAGGGAGAACACCGTGGTGCGTGGGTTCTGTGACCCTTGGAGGAACAACCTGGTCCCTGGCCTCTGCGACCCTGAGAGGCCCACTTGTAAATAGGGCTCAAAGGTCAGGTGTACGAGACAATATATCATTTCTTAGGAGGTTCCCAATACAGCTTGGAGAGGTCTGGGGTGCCGTGCGCCCTGTGCTGGTTGTGATCAGAGGGAAGACACAGCTCCCCAACCCATCCTGTTTCCCCTGGATCAGTCCCTCAGATTGGTTTTATCCACTGGGCAGCCTTGTTGTTGTTGTGTGCCATCGAGTTGGAACTGACTCACAGCTGATTCTCCAACAGGTTTTCAGAAACTGTAAATCTCATCTCCTGAGAGGAGATCACCAATCCCCCTCCCTCAGAGCAGCTGGTGGATTTGAACTGCCTGCAGGCTGGCAGTGCAGCTCCTTACCACGAGGCCACCAGTGCCCCCTGGGCAGTCAGGATTCTGCAAATCTAGAAACTGCTGTGTGGAGAATGGAGGGAACAGAACTGTCTTTGTGCTCGGCCCTCACTCCTTTACCCTGGTCACCTGGCACCTTCCCTCACCTCCTCTCAAAGAGCCACCTGCACACCGCCTACGCACATACTGACCCTGGGCATCAAAGGTGGTCGAGGTTGAAGTCCGACCCAGCGTGTTGACGGCGTCACAGGTGTAGACCCCCTCATCCTCCAGTTCTGCACCCTGGATCTCCAGGCGCAAGGCATTGGGTGCCACAGTCACCTGTAGCCGGGGAGAACTGCCCGCAAGTTCCCCCAAACCCTGTGAGGTGGAAGCCACAAGCTGGTCCCCATGGCGCAGCTGCAGCCGGGCCACAGGGTCACTGTCCACATGGCACAGGAGGAGGCCCAGCCGCCTGGGCCCCGTGTCCATCAGTGTTGTGAGTGTGGCCTGGCGAGGTGCGTCTGCACAGGGAGAGGAGCAGTCAGGGCCTGGGGTCCTTCACCTGGGGTGCTCCCTGGGGTTAGAGCCCCAGAGCAAGGGCAAGCCCACCCCCACGTGGACAAGGTGCAACTTCTTACAGGACACGTGGAGGTTGACGGGGGCGGCCAGGCTGGTGGTGGCTGAGCCCGGGGCCTGGGCCTGGCAGTGATAGGCTCCAGCCTGCTTTACAGCAATTGCTGCAAAGTGCAGCCTGGCTGACGTCGGCTCCTGGAGCAGCTGGCCATTCCGATACCAGTGGTATGAGGTCCCTTCTGGGACCCCCGTGGGTACCTGGCAGCTCAGAACCACCTCCTCACCCTCCCGGACCTCAGGTGATGGTGACACCTGGACCCAGGCTCCTGCGGGGAGAAAATAAGAGCAGATGGGGGCTCTGGGTACCTCCTGCTTCTGGGACTGTATGTACGTGCGTGTGAGCTGCAGGATCCCAGCCCTGGAAGAAGGTTTGCCCTGGAACCCCACACATCTGCCCCTAAACCTCCAACACGAGCCCACCAGCTCTGTACTTCCATCGCTCTAGCTTCCAACTCCATGGCCCTGGTTCTGTCCTGGCTTTTACCACCCACCACCTCGAGCTACAGTTTTGCTCTACCAATCTGATCGTGTCTGATGTGGGTCAGAAGCCCAGCTTGTGTACCCTGTGACCTGGTGCCAGGCAGAGCACCTGCAAATGTTTCAGCCCACAAAGCAGCAACAGAGGGATTTAGGTCATGCCAAGGATCAGAAGAATTGATGCCTTTGAGTTGTAGTGTCGGAGAAGAACACTGTCTATCCCATAGACTGCCCAAAGAACAAACAGCTGTGTCCTGGAAAATGTACGGCCAGAGTGCTCCTTGGAGGCAGGGACAGCAAAGCTTCACCTCCTATACTTTGGGCATGTTACTAGGAGGGGCAATTCCTTGGAGAAGGGCATCATTCTTGGAAAGGTGGAAGGTCAGCGAAGGAGAGGAAGACCCTCAATGAGATGGATTGACACAGTGACTGCAGCGATGAGCTCACGTGTCTCAGAGACGATGAGGGTGGCACAGGACAGGGCAGGGTTCAGACCCGTTGCTCACAGGGCTGCTATGACTTGTACTCAATTTGATGGCACCCAACTACAAGGACCTCATGTCTTGGTCGTAACAGAGACTCAGTATGGTGACCGAGGGCTTGGAAGAAGAGCAGAGAAGTTTGGGATCTTGGCTTCTCTCTGGCCCTTTGTGCTGACCAGGCAAAGGACACCTTACAGTCCCAGGGTCCAAAGCAGGGGGCAGGGGAGGTGGAGGAGCAGCGGGCTGTGCCTGAGGAAAGAGCTGGTCTGTCCAGAGCCAGCAGTGACCCCCTGCTAGTCAGTCACCTGGTAATGAGCAAACTCCTGAGACTCACTTACCCTCACTTTCTCTGCCGAGGAAAGGAATACAATAAATAAGAAAAGATACACCGGGTCAAGGACAGGGCAAAGCCCAAAATAAATGTACAAAGTTGAGGCTCTTGGTCAAGGTGGGAGAGAAAGTGTGCAATTCCATGCCCTTTATCATGGCGGAAGGGAAAACATGCACTTTCTTTGCTTTTTTTACTGCAGTTATTAGCTTTTTTTTCTTTTTTTTTTTGCTTGTTGTTGTTATTGTTGTTATGTGCCATCAAATCAGAATCAACTCTTGGCTGACCCTCCAACAGGTTTTTGGAAGCGAAAAATCATACGGAAGGAGATTGTCCATCTCTCCCCAGTGAAACAGCTGATGGATTCGAACCATGCACCTTAGAGTTGGCAGTGCAACGTCTTATCTCTAGGCCACCTGCTGATTTGGTTAGGGAAGATTTTTATAGAAGATTTTGTGGATATGTGTGTTAGTATAATGTATGCAGACATATGTGGTTTCATATGTGAATTTAGTATTAACAAATTATATGATTATAAATAGAAGTTATCTATCAGAAAGTAATAACGAATATCTGTCAGAAAGTAAAAACTCAAGCCATCTGGGGCAATTGCTACTGCCTCTCAGTGGCCGCTACAGTTATTGCAAGTGAAAATATGTATCCTAGGACAATGGAAACCATGTCCTGACCAGGGCTGAAAGTACGATTTCTGCACAAAATCCACACCACCCAGCTGAAAGCCCAGCCCGAGTGGTCCTCAGGGCAACAGAGGCTGTAGCATCTTGAGAACACTGACACTTACCTCGGACCTGGAAGAAGAGTGAGGTGTTGACTGATCCATAATTGTTTGTGGCCTCACAGTGGTAGCTGCCAGAGTCTTCCAGGCCCAGTTCTCTGATCTCCAGCTGCAGGGAGTTGGCCGTGGACTTGGCCTGGAGCCGGCCATGGAGTGGGAGCTGGGACCCTGGGCTAGTAGCCAGGAGGTGTTCTCCATGGAATAGGGCCAGCTGGGCTGGGGGGCGGCTGTCCACTGTGCACATGAACACAGCCACATGGCCCTGGCCCACGTCCAGGAGGGCTGAGAGCTTTGGAGGGTCCGGGGGATCTGTGGGAATAGGGAGAGCGCAGGCCACTCTCAACCCCACTGACCATGATCCAACTCTCACACAATGTCACACACACACACACACACAATGTCACACACACACACACACTCACAGACACACAGACAGATACAGACACACACACACAGACACAGACAGACACACACACTCCAGACCCACCCTGTCCCAACCCCAATCCAGTTCCTCCCCCTCCCTCAGGCCACCCCGTCAATCCTCCAAGTCCCCAACTCCGCCCTAGCTGGTCACCCACAGACTACGCTCAGGACCACAGGAGCAGAGAGGTGGGCCTCGGCCCCGGTGAGGATGCAGCAGGTGTAGCGGGCAGCATCGGTCCGGGCCACGGGCATCAGGCTCACAGTCTCCAGTGGACCCTGGGTCCATAGCACTCCATCCCGGAACCAGGAGAAGTTGGCAGGGCTTCCAGCGGCCTCTCTGCTCACGCTACAAGTCAGGTTGGCTGCTGAGCCCTCCCGCAGCGTGTCCGAGGGCGAGATGACCAGGACAGTAGCTGGAGCACAGCAACACAGTGTCACGTGAGGCAGGGCCAGGGCCAGCCAACCTCCAGATCTGCCCAGACCCTCTGGGTAAAGATAGTGGAGAGGAGACCCTCGGGGCACCCACAGAGCCAGGGATCATGGTGAGAGCCCTGGGGGTGGGGGCTGGGATCCCATGTATGACCAGGGAGCCTACGAGAAGCAAGTCCTAGGGAAGAGTGTGAGCACTGGCCACTGAGGCCAGTGGGGGGGTGGGGACAAGAGAGAGCCCCTGGCTCTGAATAGGCGACAGCTTTGGCCTGCCACAGTATGGAGGAACAATAAGATTCCTCACTGGGCAGTTTTCTTTTTCCTACTGCTGGACAGAAGTGGTTTTGACCAATCAGACCTTCCAGGGAAGGGGGCTGCAGAGGCCTGAGCCCCAAGTGTGGACTGCTGGCATCCTGATGCCCGCTCCCTGTCTGACTCACCTTGGCCGTTGAAGGTCCCCGAGGTGGAGACGTTGCCCAGTGTGTTGCTGGCCACACACAGGTACTTGCCCTCGTCCTCCAGCACTGGCTCTGCAATCTCTACACTCAGCAAGTTGGGGGCTCTCGTGACCTTTATGCGCTGGGAGAGGGTCCCATCCAAGGGCAGAGAAGAGGCCACTAAGTGGTCCCGATGGAGCAGCCGCAGCTGGGCCGGAGGGTCGCTGTCCACTCGGCACACAAGCACACCGTGGCGTCCAGTCCCGGTTCCGGAGGTACCGGGGTCTAGCCGGGTGGTGAGAATGGGCTTGCGTGGGGCATCTGCAGGAAAGAACAACATAGGTGTTTATGCTACGTGATGCCAAGGTCTCCGGTAGGCTGTTTCCAGAACACATTGGACAAAGTCCAGGGCAGCCATAGTCAGCTGTACAGGCTGCGCACTGCCCAAGGCCAGCCAGACAAGGATGAAGAGAGCTCAGCCCATGCTTCCTGCATTAAACTGTGCGTGGGATTCAGTCTTCCCAGAGGAAGGAGCACCATTTGCTGACTGGAACAGAGGTGTTACTGGATTAGCAAACGACATGCTCACATGGTAATTCCTGGATCTTGCTCTCAGGTGTCTGTATACACCCCTGCTTTGTCATGGAGCTCCCCTCCCCAAGATTTATTCTGCCTCTTGTCTCTGATCTCCAAGTTAGCTCCCAGCAAACTCAGATAATGCCTACCATGCCCTCTTTCTAGAAGCTGTTGGAGACAGGTGATCCAGAGGGACCCATCAGCCAGGACTCCCACATGATCCCATGCAGACGGGGAAACCCTGGAGAGGTGGTGCTTTTCCCTAATTGTCCCCTCTGTCACCCACACCTCAGGAGAGGCTTTCTGGGTGGAAGTGCACCCTGACATTGGTCAGCCCCTTAGGCTAATCCGGCCCACCAACCCTTGACAAGATGTCTGGAGAGGGGAGCTTTCCTCATGTGGCCCCCTCTGCTTTGGTCTCTGTGGAAGCCATGGGGACACAGCCTTTGGGACGTGTGCACATATATAGGGGTGTTTGTCCCAGGACGCAGCCCAGGAGGAGAAAGCTTGGATACAGAGCCCACGGTGGATTTGAGGCTAGGGGCTGTGGTTGTCTGCTCTCGTCAGAACCAACTCACAGCTGACCCTCCAGCGGGTTTTCAAAGGTGGTTAATTGCATGGGAGGAGATGGCCCATCCTTCTCCCATGGAGCAGCTGGTGAATCTGAACCTCATGCCTTTGGGTTGGCAGCACAACTCCGTAACCACTAGGCCTAGAAGCAGGGGCCCCTAAAGAGGCTGGGAGTGGATAGTGAGCTGGGGGAGAGAAGAGGAAATCCCATCTAGCCTGTACCCTAGACTTTAGCCCTAGGTAGTGAGGTCGGTGGCGCTCAGGCCTATGAACCCTCTCCTGGTCTAGGACAGGGTCAGGGGCCTAAAGGAGTCAGCACTGGCTGGTAGGTCCCTGGGAGGGGGAGGGGGACCCTCCCCAAGACCAGCAGCTCACAGAGAACAGTGAGGGCAGCAGGTGACGAGGGCCCGCTGGCTTGGTGGCCGTCCTGGGCCCGGCAGTAGTAGGAGCCAGAGTCGGAACTGGAGGCCGCGGGGAGCAGGAGGCTGCTGGGGCCCTGAAGAAGCAGAGCTCCGTTACGGTACCAGGAGACGCGGGCGTCAGCGCTCAGGCCAGTCCGACAGGTCAGCGTCACCGCCTGCCCTTCCACCACCTCTGCTGCCGGGCTGATGAAGAGACGAGCAGCTGGGGGGGGGGGCAGGGAGAGAGGGGAGGGGACTGTGAGGGTGCACCCCTCTGCTCAGTCCTCCTGCAAGTGTGAGGCCCTGCCGCCTGGGACAGAAATTCACCCCCTTCTCAGCTCCTCTGCTCCCCACATGACTGCAGGGTCTCGGTGTATTTCCAATCCATCAGGAAGGGTTGACTTGGAAAATCAGTTCGGATCTGTTGGTAGCAGGTGGCCACAATGTGGTTAAGGGTCCAGAACAAGAAACTACGCTCATGTCAAAAATCTGACTTCAGAACATGGAGAAATTAGAAATCTCAATCAAAAAGTGGGACTATGAGACAGCGCAGCTGCCGTGAAAAAGCTTGGTGGTTCCTCAAAAAGTTAAACACAGGGCTAGCATCCAACCCAGTGATCCTATTGCTAGGTGTGAACCAGAAGGACTGAACACATGAACTCAGGTAGGCTCTGTGCACACAAAGCCAAGAGGTGACAACGACCCAAGTGTCCATTAACAGATAAGTGGACAGACGAGAGGTGCTGCTAGGTAGATAAACAAAATACGCTCTACAACAGAATATTTTTCAGCCACAGAAAGAGATGACATTGTGATGCAACAAGTTCAACCAGGACAACAATTTACAGAATGTAAGAGGCCAGACACGCAAGGACAGATTGGATATGATCCAATCTACATTCAATGCTTAGAGCAGGCAAATGCAGAGACAGGAAGCAGATTAGAAGTCAACAAGGATTGAGTGTTGAGGGGAGGGGGGTACTGTTGTTTAACGAGGGTGAGATATCTGTTTGGATGGAAAGAAAATAAATAGGAGTGATGATTATACAACACTGAATGTAATGTCGCTGGAGGATGAAAGAATTTTTCTTTTACTTTTCAAAGAGAAGAGCGAACTGGGCGGGGGGGGGGGGGTCAAGGAGAAAAATGCGCCAAGGAATAAATGGAAATCCAAAGTCTCTATAAATGTTCATTAAAATTCATAATAAAAAAGGGAAGAAAGGTTAAAATGATAAGCATACATTATATACATTCCTATACAAAGATACAAGTGTTATATATGCATACACACTTTCCCATAATTTTTTTATATATTTTTTTAAAAAATGAAAACCTGCTTGGATGAGTTAGTGATGCCCACCACGGATCACAGAGGGAGAAACACGAGCTAAGAATGAACATCCTCGATGCTTTCGAGCGACCCCTCCGTCAGCTGTCTGAGGCCTTACATTTTAAGAGGAGAGGACTGCTCATTTTCCTCCTGAAGAGCAGCTAGTGGATTTGAACCGCTGACCTTTCATTAGCAGTACAACATGCTATGGACTATGACACCAGGGTTTCTTGTACAATGGATTCTTGCTGGATAGAGTCCGTTCCGATTCCATCCACTGGGTGTCTGGCCGTGAACCCGGGAAGAGAACGACCATCTTTCTCCAGAGGAGCAAGGTGCTGAGAAGTGGACACAGGGTGCAAGAGACCTGGCTTCCAGGCTTTTGTTTAACAGCACAACACCCTATGGACTAAATATGAAGGACCCTCCAGGTTTAGGGGGTAGAAATGGACTAACACAGTCTATCCTGTTTCCCTTTTAGCCTTGGCTTCCAGAAACCTCTGAGGTTGGAATGAACACACAGTCCAAGTACTGAATGTGATTTGTACCAGTCAACTGGTTCAGTCCCTCATTCGAGCCCTCTGTACTCCTAGAAGGAAGAGTCAAGAGCAGCCCCCTCCTCGGACTTCCTCGGCCAGCCCTCCTGTGACCACTCACCATTGGCGTGGAAGTCCAGGCTGGAGGAAGAGCTTCCGAGGGAGTTGGTGGCCGAGCACGTGTACTTCCCACTGTCAGCTGGTTCCAGGTCTCGAATCTCCAGGCGCAGGGAGTTGGGAGCCAAGGAGACCCGGAAGCGTGGGCTGTAGTCGCCCATGCTGGAGGAGGAGGCCAGGGTGAGGTTCCCATGGGACAACACCAGGGTGGCCAGGGGCTCACTGAGCACGGAGCAGTGGAGGATGCCCACCAGCCCCTTCTGCGTCTCGAGGAATGTTTTCAGGTCCGGGGTGTGGGGTGGGTCTGTGCAGAAATGAGAGCCAGCTGTCACCGGGACAGGGGTGGGTGGGTGGCCCAAACAGCACCTCTGTGCCTGTTGAGTATCAGTCCTCATACTGGGCGAACCACTCCCAGCCCAGCCCAGCAAGTGTGTACCAGGGGGCCCAATTCAAAGAGGAGAAGATGAGAAGAGAGAGGTGGCCATCAGAATTTTAACCGGAGGACCAAGAGAACGCTATCAACGATGGAACAAATCGACATCATGTGCATCCTGTTACGCTACATTAAGACAAAACCATCATATCCACGGTCTGTTCTCTTCCTCCAGACTCTGTTTGGCTGAACAGCTGTTCTGTGCTCTTTAAATTTCAATGTCAAGAAAGTGAAGAGGGAGGGGCAGAAAGATGAGGAAAGATGACTCCAACCCAGAGAGGCGAGGTGTTTGGGGCTGAGAGCTCAGCTTCCTCCAGACTGGCCAAGAGCTTCCACCAATACTTCAAATGCTATCGAGGTGGCCCAGAGTTCAGTAAAGGATGACCAACTAGGCAGGCTAGGGAGACACACTTGGTAACCTACTTCGAGAAATTCAACTCATTGCAGTTGGGTAGGAACTGACTCATAGCTGACCCTCCAGGGACTTTTCAGAGAGAGGTTGTGACTCTCATAGGAGGAGATTGAGCATTTTTCTCCCTCGGAGCAGCTGGTGGATTTGAACTGTCTGCCTTTGGGTTGGTAGTGCAACTCTTTACTACTAGTCCACCGGAGCTGTCTGAGTAATATGAAAATTAGCCAATGTAAACCTTGTTGTTATTATTGTTGTTGTGTACTGTAGAGTTGGAACCGACTCACAGCTGACCCTTTGGTGGGTTTTCAGAGACAGTTAATCGCACAGGAGGAGATCACCCATCCTTCTCCTGCGGAGCAGCTGGTGGCCTCGAACCAGCTTTGGATTACAGAGCCCGCCTCCAGGGGCCCTCACCCCACATCAAAGACACCCCTCTCAGTCCCAGCCTCTGCTAATGCCCAGTGCTACCTTCCCCGACCACTCACAGTTGACCACCACGCTGACAGGTCTCGAGCGCTCGGTGCCAAGCGTGTTCTGCACCTCACAGAAGTAGAAGCCCGTGTCGGTGCCGGTGGTCGGGCCCAGCTGGAGAGTGCTGGCGTGGGCACCCTCCAGCAGCAGCTGATTCTTGTACCAGCTGTATTGGACCTCGCTTCTCGCCCCGGTGGGTGTGCTGCAGGTCAGTGTCACCGTCTGATTCTCCAGGATGGGACCTGCTGGGCTCACCTGGATCTCAGCCACTGTGGGGACAGAGGGAATGTGATGTGGGGGTACCCACGAACTCCAGCGCCAATCCCTCAGAGCTCCCGGGGCCACAGCCCATCAACCTGAAGTTGCAGCCTACACCACCTGCCTCTGCAGCAGAGCCTGGTTTGCCTGCACCTTTGTCTTGTTCCCCGGAATCCTGAGTCTGCATGGTCTACACAACCTGAACCTATACCTGCACGATCTAGATCACCTGAGTCAGCACGGTCAATGCCACCTGAACCTGCACTGTCTATACCGCCTGAACCTGCATCTGCACTGTCTACACTATCTGAACTCTCATGGCCTATACCTCCTGAACCTGTACAGTCTAGACCACCTGAACCTACACGGTCTATATATACTACCTGAGTCTGCACAGGCTATGCCACCTGAGTCTGTATAGTCTATACCACTTGAACCTGCACGGTCTAGACCACCTGAGTCAACATGGTCTGTACCACCTGAACCTGCTCCTGTACAGTCTATACCACCTGAGTCTGCATGGTCTATACCACCTGACTGCAGCAGAGCCTGGTTTGTACGCATCTTTGTCCTGTTGCCAGGATCCCCTCAATATCCACTCACTGGAAGGCAGGGTTGCCACTAAACCCATGGACTTTCTGTCTGTGGAGTCAAAATCCTCTGGTGTCCCCAGTGCCCTGGCTTGCTGGAAGGGTGTGGGCTGCACCCACAAGGTCCTGGACTTACTGGCCTTTGATCAGCTCCCCTGGGCCCCAACAGCCTGGACCCCTCCCTGCTCTCTGCCCTGGTCTTCACCCAGGACTCACTGAAAACATGAAGGCTGACGGGCGGTGAGGTGACGGAGCCCACTGCATTCTCCACTTGGCAGGTGTAGATGCCGGCATCGGCCCAGGTTGCTTGGGGCAACCGCAGCACAGGACTTTTGGTTGTGAGTGGCTCCCCATCCTTGACCCACAGCACGGACCTGACCTCCGGGTAGCTGCTATTCACCCGGCACGTGAGAGTGACCATGTCACCTTGGAGGATGTTCTGGTCTGAGGGGCTGAGGAGGATCTCCACACCTCGGGGGACATCTGCAAGGCAGGGTGGAAGCAGGTAAAGGGTGCCTCTGACTTAGTCTCTCTTCCCAGGTCACCCACCCACATAAAACATCTGCATATCTGGTGACACTTTAGTCGCCATGAGCATCCTAAGGCTGGGCTAAATCCTAGGATGCAGCCTGTTGACGCCCAAAGCTGTGTCTATTGATGAGATTTTAGATTTCCTTTATGGCTCTCAAGCAATCCCAGTCTCAGTGTGTTTAAAATACAATGAAAATGCTTTGTCCATAGGTACAATCGTGGCCGCCTCTCAATGCACTCAAGTCAGAATGGACTCATAGCTGACCCTCCGGCAGGTTTTCTGAGGCTCTAAATCAGCTGGAAGGAGATTACCCATCTTTCTTCTAAGGAGCCACTGGTGGACCCAAATCACGCAGAGGCTAGGCCTTAGGGTAGCAGCACAGCTCCCCACAGCTAGGCCAGCAAGGTGCCCCTGCTGAGAAGAGAACTCCCAATGCCCTGGCCCTCTGTGCCACCCTCTTCTGCCCAGTCTGGCCTGGAAGAACACATCCTCCCCCTTCAAGGTCAGTGGGAGTTAGAGGGGAACCATTATAAGGGGCCAAGTGTGGGCTTCTGCTTGGCCTCAGGGGAAGGGTCTTCCTCTGGCAGTTGGAACAGGGCTGGTTCCCACTGGGGCGCAGAGAGGCGTAACCTCTCCCCAGCCAGGATGCATTTCTCACACTCACACTGCACTTGGAGGTGCAGCTCCTGCTGCGCTTTGCGACCAGCCATGGACACCTGGCAACGCAAGGTCCGGCCGTGGTCCTGCCAGGACAGTGCCGTGTGAAGGGTCGCCAGGTGGCTGATGCCAGTGGGTTCCACCCTCTGGAGAGGGGTGGTGACGGAGTGAGCCGGGTCCTGGCCGTGCCACTCCAAGAGGACAGGCTCTTTCAGGCACACGTAGGGAGTGGAGCAGTTGAAGTTCACGTCCATGCCCTCACGCAGCATGGCTGGGGCAGTGATGGTGGGCATGAGGGGCTCCTCTGAGGAAAGAGACAGAGGCTCAGATCTCCCCTTTTCCCCACACTCAAGACCCTCTACCCTGGAAGCCCCAGCTGAGGTGGGAGGGGGACCGGGCTTTAAGAAGGGCAGACAGTTCTCCATCCAGAGCCCCATGTGGGTGGGTGCAAGGGGTGACCAGGGTTGGGGCTGAAGCAAAAAAATAGGACGGGGAGCAAGGGTAGGAGGGGGCAGCGACTGGGGCTGGCCCTGGGACAGAAATCAGGCTCACGTGGGACAAGAACGGGCCTTAGGATAGGATAGGGACCGAGCTGGCTCTGGGACAGGAATAGGGCTCATATGGGACAAGAATGGGGCTAAAGATGAGACGGAGACGGGACTGGAACTGATCCTGGGACAGAGAAGAAGGTCAGGATGGGATGGGGATGGAGCTGGGGCTGGTCCTGGGACTCGGATGGGGCTGATGCTGGAACCAAGGTTGATATTGGAGCTGGCTGTAGGTGGTCAGCCCAGGAGTGGCCCAAAAGTCCCCTCCAGACAGTAGCCGAGCCAGTTGCCCTCACCTGTCACTGTGACCTTGGTGCCGCGCATATCTGACCAGCGGTTGCCCTCGCTGATCTCGAAGCGGAAGTTGAAGGTGCCCGAGTCTGAGGGCCGCAGGTCCTGCAGCAGCAGGTTGCACACCTTGTTCTCGGGTCTCCCTACTAGCTGGGCGCGGCCGCGGAAGCGCCCCTCCACCAGCGAGGGATTCTCTGAGTGGCTCACCACCTGCCGTGATCCCGTGTAATCGTAGTACCAGATGGCCGTGATGCCACCAGGCACTGTCACGTCAGAGGGGAAATTGAAGACACAGGGGATGACCAGGCAGGAGCCCTTCACTCCGAGTACCTCCTGAGGGCTGGAGACGCCCCAGGAGGCCTGGCCTGAGGACAAATGGGGAGGAGTGGGGTGCAGGTCTGGGACCACCACAGGGCCCAAGATCTGCCCCAGGAGGGTCCCAGAACAGCGACTGCCCCAGGGCTACTTAGAAGCTCAGCAGGTGGTTTCATCTGGAACCTGAGGCTCCTCAACTCCAGGACTCAGTCTGTGGCTTCCTCCAGCAGCTTGGCTGGCCGTGGAAGCCAAGTTCCCTGAGGCGAACCAGTGACGCTTACCTGGCAGGAAGAGCAAGGCCAGGAGGAGAAGCTGGAGCAGAAGGCCCATAGCAGGTACTGGGGCCTGGAAGATGCGTAGAGGAGCTTCAGAGCTTCAGGTCCTGCCGTGTATTCCCCAAGTGCTGGGATGGTCAACCCAAAGAGAAGGCAGGGCTCCCAGGGACCTCTGGGTGGGACAGAATAGCAGTGAGCCAGGAGCTCACGTCACCAGCACACAGTGCCCGGGAATGCCTCACTTGGTGTCTTGCCTCAAAAAGTACCCCCTGTCCCCTCTGCCCCACCCTCACAGTTGGTGGCCCAACTTCTGCTTTCAGGGAAATTGTCTCAGGGTGTATTAGCAGCTGTCCCCGGCCGACTCTACCACCACCTCCAAACCAGCAGGAAGGAACTGGAACCCAGAGAGGCTCGCTCAGTGCATGACACTAAGACACCCATAGAGCGCGATGGCTTCCCAGTTGAGGCTCACCTCCCTGCCACCTGCTCTCTGAGATGTGGGAGCTGATGGGACTTAACGATGTGCTGCCTTTGGGGACCACTTCTTGCTCTGTGACTCCTGTCGTCCTTGAGAAGGGGTCCTGAAGAGAAGGTCCTCATGTCACTTCTTGCCGCAGACACCCACCTTGGGTACCCCCTCAAACGACCTCTGCCATCTCTGCCTGCCAACAAGGTGCAGCATGAGGCTGCCTCCAGAACAAACTGCCGCTCCAGTGTCCCAGAGTCTTCTCTGCACATGTTTGTCCTTGGCTGCTGTGAGCACCCCTTACTCAGGGCCTGGGACTGAGGTCATTGCTGCAAAAAGAGCCCTCAGGACCTCAGAGTCCCCCAAGAGCATGAGAGGGGCATGTTCCTTGGGCTTTCTGAGGGGGGACAGGAGGCTGAGAGGGTGCAGGCAGGCAGATGAGGCCCCGTACACCAGGCATCCTGGGGACACGAGTCAAACGCCTACTATATACTTTGCACAAGAAGGGTGGGTCATCTCTTGGGGAGACTCCCTGGGTAAGTAGGTTGGAGAGACCCTCAGTGGTGCCACAGGCATGAAGCAGCAGGAAAGGGATGCCAAAAATTAGTTTTGCCAACTTTGCAATCCTCCCTGGCCCTAAATGCTGACTTGGCAGGGTGAAAGGAGAGTTGGGGAGAATGGAAATGGGCAGGAAACACATGACAACTTCCGGTCCCAGCCTCCAGCCCATGGGAGCCAGCTGATACAAGGGCTACCCGGGGGCACACCTGGCTGTGGGCTGGCAGAGCCCCAGGGCCTGGGAGGATGTGGATTGCAGGTCAGGATGGCTTAGTGCTGCCTGGGAAGATGGGAAGGGACATCCCAGCAGGTACCACCACAAAAAATAAAGGTTTTGTGAGGTCAGGACACATATTGCTGCTCAGGGGACCCAGCCATGTCTGGTCATTTGCTGAGGCCAGCTCTGTATCTCTCTCAGAAAGACATGACCACCCCTGGCCCTTGTATCCATGGTCTGAGAACTGTGCTTTTCCTCACGCTGAGGAAAGGCATTCTACTGGACACATTTGGGGACAGATCTGGTCCCTGGGGCCCAGAGCTGCACAGGATCAAGGTTAGCTCTTCCACTAACAAGTTATATGTCTATGTTGGCCCCTGCTGCCCCCTAGAACCAACTCATTGGTGTCAAGTTAGACGGACTCATAGCCTTCCAGCAGGTTTTTAAAGACTATAAATCATAGGTTTACAGAGATCGGCCATCTTTCCCCCTCAAAGGAGTTAGTGGGTTTCGACTGCCTTGCTGGCCTTTTGATTGGCCACACAACTCTTCAGTCACTGTCGGAACTGACCCATAGCTGACCCTCCAGTAGATTTTCAGAGGCAGGAAATTGCACGGGAGGAGATTGTCCATCCTTCTCACATGGAGCAGTTGGTGGCTTCAAACTGTGTACCTGTGGGTTAGTATCACAATTCCTTCCTATTAAGCCACCCGAGTGCTATCTTAACCATTAGGCCACTCAAGCTCCTAGCCAGGCCCTAGCTTCAGGCACTGCTAAACCCATAAAAGGATTTTTGCACACAGCAGCACTGGAATTTCTAGAATATGTGGGGGCCCTTTCTAGAACCGCCTGAAGTCACATCATGTAACTGTCACTTGTGCTTAACCCAGCTCCAACACCAAGGGGTCAGTTTCCTACAGTCCAGCTTATGGGTTCATCAGGGACTTCTGATGGTCTAGTTCATAAAGAATCGCCTTTCTAGAAGGTCGACTCCACCAGCTGCTCTGTGTGGGAAAGATGGATAATCTCCTGTGTAATTTACAGCCTCTGAAAACTCACTGGAAGTTCAGCTACGAGTTAGTTTCAAATCAACAACAATGAGTTTTTGTGTTTTGTCCTATTCCAGAGGCCAGCCTTGGTCCAGAAAACTATCTTGGGCACAGAAAGGGGAGGAAGGCCCCAGGATGGGAGCACTCTGTCCCGCTTTGAAAGCCTGGTGATGAGAGGCTGTAAGGCTGGGGCTGAGCTGGGTGACCTTGGCACCCCCTGGTGGTAGGTGAGAGATTGGGGAGGGGATGGATGGACTGCAGGGAGCACAAAGCCCTAAAACAGTCCTTAGGTAAGATCCTTTAGACAGCTTTGTTCATCAGCAAGAAACACCTTAGGTCCATCCTTTAATCTTCAAGCTTTGAATACTTTGAAAACATGTCTAATATAGTGGTAAGGAGCTGCGCTGCAAACCCAAAGGCATGCAGTTCAAATTCACCAACTTCTCCACAGGAGAAAGATGGCCAGTCTCTTCCTTTGCAATTTACTGCCTCTGAAAACCCACTGGAAGGTCAGCTAAGAGTCGGTTCCAACTTGACGGTTCACAACAACAACAAAATAGATACTAGTTGTGCCAAGACTTGGGTTTGATGATCCAGTTACAGAGTGGGCATCAAGTTTGCTGCCTGAGTGAAAGAGTGAGTCAGTGAAATGACATGAGAACGGTGTCCCCAGACACCTGGAGAGGGCAGAGGTCAATGCCTGGCCTGGCCTGGCCTGGGGAAGAGAGGTCAAAGGTAGTTTCCCTCTGAAAAGCTTTGCCTGGCTTGGATTCAGTTTCAGTTTCCTGACCCAGAGGCTCCCCTCAACTTCCCCTTTGAGCCTGACAAGGAAGGAAATGGGTAACATGGTCAGCTGGAGTGCTCCATAACGAGGATGGGAAATTTGAGGATGCCATGGGCCATTCCAGGAGAGCATGACCTTTAAAATAGTGGGAAGCTCTGACTCAACTCAAGCATTTAACTCTGGAAGCCACATAACCCGTTGGGTATCTTAGTCTGGCTTTAGATGCTGTGAACCATGCTATTCCCCAAGGTCTGCTGGGAAATGTCAAAGCTCCTGCGTGTAGGTGAATGCATGGAATGAGACTCAGGTTAGAGTGAGGGAGGGCTATGCTTGGGCAGAGGCTGGACTAGGGTGAAGTTAGGGTTAGACTGGGACCTGGAATGGGATGAGGGTTGATATTAGGGTTGAAGCTGAGATGAGAGTGACAGGTTTGGGGAGAAGTTGAAGGTCAGTGTTGGACGCAGGCATTGGAGGGAGGCTATGACTGGGAGTAAACTGGGGAAAAGGGTTGGGATTGGGTTGAGATTGGAATAAAGACAATGGTTGAGTTGGACTTACATAAAGATGATGATGATCATGTTAACAATTATTTTTTTTTTAGGTTTCTATAATTATGTTATAATGTTAAGGCTGGAATTCAAGTTAGGTCAAGGTGACAATTAAGGTTGAAGTCAGGGCCAGGGCTAAAAGAGTTTAGAATGAAGGCTAGGACTAGAATTTAAATACAGTTTGGGTTTGTGGAGGAATTATAATTAGGAATTTGGATTGGGGCTGGTTAGGGGTCCAGCATTCGCGCCCACACGCACCCCAGCAAGTTGTTTTGTCCAGCTCTGCTCCCAAGTCCCCGAATCATCCCTCCCAGCCCAGTGGATAGGATACCTGCTCCGCAGTGGCTCTGAGGTGGCTGAGCTGACCAGAGAGAACAGGAAGGAAGGCTCTTGACCCTGCATGTGTCCCAGGACGCTGCTGCCCCAAAAGAGGAGGACCCAGCTTCAGAAGCGGCTTCCTCTTTCCCTAAAGCCTCAGCCCCACTGACCAGTCCACAGGCCGGTCAAGGAGCAGCTGCAGGCTTTGCGCAATGGCAAGGCAGGAAAGGCCTCCTGCAGAGGGAGGCCCCCAGCACGTCCTGGGAGGCTGGGACCCAGGAATCTGAGAGCACAGGGAACCCGGGGCTCACTCTGGCGCCTCCTTCAGGCAAAGTGGGAAATGGTGGAGGGACTTACCTGGAGCTACTCTGGGATCTATCTGCAGAGAGGGTCCCTGGGGGCTGGGGAAGGAGGCCAGCCCAGCCTGGGGTGGGGGTGGATTACAGGATGACCCACAGCCGCCACCTCAGTGTGCAATGTTCTGATGACTGTCTACCTCCCCTCCAACCCTCCTCCCACCTTGATTTCAGCAAAACTCCCCAGCCTTGAAGACATACAATTTAAGGTTCAAATCTCCCAGCTAGGTGCTCTATGGGAGAAAGACAGGCAATCTCCTCCTGTGTGATTTACAGCCTCTGAAAACCCACTGGAAGGTCAGCTATGAGTCACTCCCTACTCAACACAGAAAAAACCCCAGTAGCCTTGATGCAGAACAGAAAAGACACCACCACTGCTAAGTTACCACTTCAATACTCGAGGGCATATTATGTGCCAGGCACTTAATATGCATGGCAGATGGTAATTGCTCCAAGCAACCCTAGGTGCAAATGACAACACATTGCTTTCTTTTGCAACTCGTTTCTTCATAATCCCACTCAGCCCCTGCCACCCCATTCTTCACAGGGAGCCCAGCCTCAGCGGGTCAGACCCCTCCCTGTCTCTGCGGATAAATCCACTAGTGCAGATACAAAAGGAACTGAAACCTTGAATCAGGGTGGCTCCATTTCACTCTGAAATGCTCAGATCCCAGAAAGAGTGGTCTTGGACATTCTGTCCCTTTTTGAAGCCCAGCATTTGCATTTACTGTTAACCTTAGATCATTTCCCCTTTTGCC